AGGGCTTTTGGAATCTCTGGGTTCCCAGCCGGAGCAACATGAACCCCACAGAGGGCAATCGGAGCCTAAACTCGCACCCTAAGAGATCCCCTTAAGGCAGGGCTGGGCTGGGGACCTGCTCTTGCACAGCCATGGCTCTTGAACTACGAACTGGGATTGCTGTTTAGGCCTGGTAAAGAAGTTAGGCCCTCAAGCCAGTTCCACCGCTACACGCTCACTACCTGAAGCTGCGCCGCAAGTTGACCCTTGAACCAAGATCTTGAGCCACTCTCTCTCTCTCTCTCTCTCTCTCTCTCTCTCAGCTCTCCACACAAAACCATAACAGGGGGCTATCCAGCCCTCCAACGCACAAAGGGCCATCCAGCCCAGCACGCAAAACCAACAAGGAGCCATCAGCAACTTCCTAGTCAAAATATTTGTACACATGCATCCGACTAACTTCCTAGCAAAAAATGCACACATTCATCCAACTAACTTCCTAGCCAAAAATCTGTACACATTCACCCAACTAATTTCCTAGCATTTTTTCCTGTGCATATTCACATATTCTCATCCTAAACAACAGAAGGCAGATGACTACTCGGAGATGGTCCTGCGGCGCAGAAATCCAGAACCACTCCGAGGTCGGCAGTACTCATCCAACTTGCCAGCAAATGTTTCTGTACGTATTCATCCACAATGTGACACAGGTTGTCCAGGCACAACCCAGACAACGCTGCGTCAGACTTTCTCCGCCAACAACTCCTCAGACGAAGGCATGCTCTGACACCTTCATCCACTCCAAGTGTTCTTCATGTTCAGCTTGTAGCTTGCTTCCTCCCTCGAATTCCCCTTGACACAGGAGGCCATCATCTTGCTCACCTTGCCCATGTAATCTTCTCCCCTCCAACAACTTGTCAGAGAAGGGTGTATCTGCGCACTCTTTTCCACTGTGTGTTGCGCGGCACGCAGCTTTGAAGTCACATTGAAAACTCGAACACCCTGATCCTTGGAGTAATCCGACAAATGAACATAAAGGGCTCCAAAGTTCCGGAAACTGTCCACGAGTCGTTCTGCTGCAGCAGGCGGCAACGCAAAATGCTTCTTTGACACAGGGTACTCATTCAGGATGCCCTCAAACTCCTTGTTCAACCTCAAGAGTAGCTTCTCTTTCCTGAACTCATCCGTGTCCGGCTCAAATCGTTCCACATGAATAGAAATGCTCCACAGAGTCCGTTGATCTCAGCGGCTTTGCCCTTCATCTTGGGGAAGTCCTTCTGCTTCTGGAACATGGAAAGCTTGAACAGCCTCTGTCCGTGCTTGTTGTGAACCCTGTTGTTCTCTTGATGGCTCTTGATGAACTTCCACAAAGTCTTCAAATTGTCCAGTGGTGCCTGTTCCATCATGTGTCGACAGAGACGCTCCATTACTGATCCAAAAAAAGCCGCGCATATCCCAAATATTTCGCACGCATCAAGTGTGAACATGACAAACCGTCAATCCCCTTTGCAACACTTTGCATTCTAAAAACTCAAACGGAAAACAAAGTCAGGTTTCTTTTGCAACTCACTTTGAGCCTTGATATATGCTGGAAAACAGCAAAAGTTGGGGACCAACAATCCACATGACACATGGCCTATACATGCCGGTGTGGATGCTCTCAAATGTTGTTACCCCCTTTGATAGTTCACGACTTGAGTGAACGATCATCCCAACATTGGAGAAACCAGAAATTCATCGCAGCTCCCCCACAGCAATGGGGCGAACGCCCCCATTTGGTTTGGGAATGGCCACCAGCCCTACCTCGCAAGCACCACAGCAGCCAGCTGCGCTAGCAAGGTGTCCTGGGCTCCAGCAACGCAGGCTTCCCGAAGGTGTTGCACTCAGGGCCAGGAGCAGTTTTCAGCAGGAAAGGCTCGCAAAGAGCTACTAACTCAGGCGCAATGTCCGGAAGCTGCGGGAGCTCATTCATAGACCTCTCCGAAGGGGTGGGGCCTGAAGGGTGAAGCGCTTCCAGGGCGCGAGCAGTCTCCTCAGCGCAAGGCGCTCGCACAGCCGCCGACAAGGCCGCGACATGCTCGGGACTTAGCCGTCCATCCGACAGCTCGACTTCGCATTGCCGAAGTCGCCCAGCCCCAAGCGCAAAGAGGCAGATGACGTACAATCTCTTCAGCAAGCTTCCTGCTCAACGGTTCTGTCCCAGCGCAATGGGCTCCCTATGTGGTGGAAAGTTGAAGCGTTTCACGTTTGAACGGTGGAATCAGATCTGCCCCATGTGTTCCGGCAAGCAAAGGGCTCCATGGCTGTTGAGTTTTCTTCTGTTTCCGAGATCTCCAAGGATGAATCCTGTTCACGGCGGACATCGGACTCTCGCCCCTCAAGGCGTTGGCCACGTGCCAACTCGTACGGAAAGGCTTGCGCGTCCGAATCAGAAGCGCAGACCGCAGGAGATAGCTAGCAACGATTACTTTTGCTTCGACACGTGGCCCCAGCAGCAACATGAAAGACTCGTGTCCGAAAACCTGAGCAGCCTGAAGGAATGTTAGGTTCACTCGGATCAACCAGCACAAATCACGCAAGATGAGCCTTTGAAAACCAACGCGCGAAACAGCCACTCGCACGTAGAAATGCCAGCCGACTCGTTTGCGAAGATCGGCCTACTCAACGCAGCAGCCGCCGCCGCAAATGCTGACCCACATCAGGCCAACAAATCGCCGAGCACAGCCATGCATCAAGATACTTCCCATGTTTTAGGCATCCCATGTTTTACGAACGCTTGTAAAGGCATGCGTGAAGCCCATCATCAAGCGCAGCATAGGTGCTGCAAGCTCCCCTTGTTCTGGTACTATCCAGCATATGCTGCTTCGGACCATGTAATGAAAGACTGGTGCGCTAGATTTTGGCTTGCTTCGGCTCTCTTTCCTGATTTCTCCAGTCAACAGAACGTCCTGACGGCATAAAATTGCAATTCGCTCATGCATGTGATGAGCAGCAAGCAGGAGAAGTGCTTCACTCCCTGCTCTAACTCTATGTCTCTCTCCGTGTATCTTTCCCTGTGCCTTTTCGATTTGTGGGATGGTCTGCGTTGGTACGCAAAGTAATAAGCATGGCCCCTGCAAGCAAGAATGACACGCCGATGCGCGTGGCTCAGGACACAATGAGATTCCAGGAAAAGGGATTATTTGGTGTTTGGGTGTGGGGACGAAAAGGGATGATGTTGTGCTTGGGTGTGGGGACGAATGAGCCTTGAGGCCTCAGTAGGATGTCGTCTAGGCACAATCCTCTTGATGATTTACCTCACAGTGTCAGACAATCACTACGGGCATCTAACCAGGCCTCCCCTAATCCTCACATTTTTCTTTGATACCTCCCCGGAACCTTCTCATAACCGACAGGTTATGAGCCCAAGCTCTCCTGTCCCTATCCACACATCCACCGCAGCAGCAGCAGCAGACGACATGCACACAGACAGCACCATCCGGCTTCGTGCCATCACGCAGCTTGACATACCTATTGATGTTCTACTGTCGTTTCAGCAGAACCTTAGTGAAGATCTTGGGTTTATGCAAGACATATCTGCAGCGGTGCAAGAGTTATCGGATCGGGCACAGCATAGGACATCGATCCTTGGAACGGCCCTGGAAAATACGGGTCGAGCTGTGTTGGATTTGCAGACAGGCCAAGAGGCACTCAGGTCAGGCATGGAGCAACTCCAAGCTAAGATGTTGAGACAACAGCAGATCTTGGTCGCAATCACACAGCATGGAAAGGAGGCCGAAAGTAAAAGCGCGCAACATGAAAAGGACATTCAGATGCTAAAGGAGCATCTGGAGGCAAACCATCACCAGCAACAGGCAAGTCAGTTACAACTTGACTGTGGCGTACAGCTCCAGGCCGCATTGGCGGCGCGTGCTGAACAGCTAGAAGGTCAGGCCCAAAGGTTGAGTTTAGCAACAGAACCTCAATGTGTCAAATCCTCCCGTCACTCAAGCATCAGGCAATGTGGATTTTCAGGCAATCCAGGCCGAACTTCAGCGTGTGAATGCCTTACTTGAGCTCAAGGAGCAAGGCGGCCCCCGGGCGCCAGGTGTTTCAGTTATCCCCTGAACTCCAAGAGACCAGGTCTGCGGATGAACCCCAGGCACAAGATGGTACAATGGTATGGCTCA